ACATCATGCTTGGTAGGGTGGAGGGACAGTGCAGGAGGGGAAGGCCCTCTATGAGGTGGATTGATTCAGTGACTGGGATAATTGGGATGGGTGTGTCAGAGACAGTGCGATTGGCACAGGACAGAGCAGAGTTTAGGTCTGTTGTACATAGGGTTGCTATGAGTCGCAAGTGACTCAACGGCACATAACAGCAATAACTCTAAGCCATCTGAATGTATTTTGGAGTACAGTATGCCAGGTTCTATCTTGGGCCGGTACTTTATACATCTCATCCTATTTAACCCAGCTGATGATCTTAGGAATAGTGTTGTCTGAGAGCTAGTCAGCAGTCCAGTCCTAAAAACTCAGTGCTGTCAAGTCAGTTCCTGCTCATCATTTATTAAATAATTCTGTCCATTCTCCTTGCTTTGTGAAGCTGGTTTTTAATCCTGAGTATCATTTAAGGATGTGATTGAGTCTTCTTCTGTTTTATCAGTAGCTTTTTTTTTTATTGGCCACTATATTTCCCCATTTCTACTTTTTTTTCTTTTTTATTAATGAAATTAAAGACTGGAGACTTAGGGTTTCCAGTCATTCATTGTTGCACTTTTCTACCTGCCCCCCCCCCATTTCACTTTTTTCCTTGAAAAGAAAAACTCTTTCCTTGTTATGCAATCCCTCCCTCTAAGGCCACTCCACTATGCAGGCTTCACTCTGAACTTCTGTAATGACAAGAATACCCATTCATATATCCCTTTTAAATAATTCTCTCCCTCATCTGTTTCAGTGCAATATACATCATGCCTCCCCTCCTTTTCTGTCTTCCCTCAACCCTGATTCCAGTCCCGTTTTACAGCAGTGGCCCTATGCAATATTTGTCCTTTTCATGACTGAGATATTTCACTCAACACTTTGTCCTCCAGGGTCATCCATTTTGCATATTTCATGAGTTCATTGTTTTCAATATTCCATTGTGTGAATATTCCACAGCTTCTCTATCCATTCATTTGTGATAGGCATTTAGGCTGTTTCCAACTCTTTGCTATTGTGAACAGCTGCAATAAACACGGGTGTGCATATATCTGCTTAG